ATGATATACAACCAAGAATAAGTTATCCAGCAAAGCTATCATTTAGAGTTGAAGGACAGATAAAGAGCTTGCCAGACAAAAATAAGCTCAAGGAATTTATCACCACCAAGGCAGCATTACAGGAAATGTTGGAGGGACTTCTTTAAGAAGAAAACACATGATCCAAAACAGAAATAAAGAATGATAACGACTACATTCCTATCAACAAGTACCTTCAATGCAAAAGAATTAAGTGCTCCAATCAAAAGATAGAGTGGCTGAAAGGATAAGAAAACAAGACCTCTATATATGAAAAGGAATGGGATGGAAAAAGATACTGCTTTGATGGACCTAGAAAGTATTTAAGTCAGAGAAAGATAAATACTATATGATTTCACTTATATGCAGAATATAAGGAATAAAAAAGAACAAATTAATCAAAAACAGATTCACAAATATAGTGGACAATTTGGTGTCAGACAGAGGGAAGGGGAGTTTGGGGGGCTGAGAGAATGGGGCAAAGGTCTAAATAAGTACAAATTAGTAGTGATAGATGGTCACGGGGATGGGGAGCACGGCATAGGGAATGTAGTTAGCATTAATACGTTGGGTAGGTGGAAGGTCAAGGGAGGAAGGGAGCAATTGGGGGGATCGTTTTATAAACTATATAGATCTCTAACCAATGTACTGTATACTTGAAACTAAATTTTAAAAAATCTTATGCAAAAGTGATACATATTGACTCATTCAGAAATCTCATTTCTGAAAATTTACTTAAAATGCATTAGTCGTCTAAAAATACACAAATGATGATTTATTCAAAGCAGGGCTATGCCTGTTAATAATACTGCTGAAACACTTCCACTGGAACTCACCATTACTGCAATGCACTTCTTTGATTTCATTTACAATCTGTGGAACCGCAACTAAAAAGAAAACCATGTAAATTTAAATTGAAAACTGTTAATCAAAATTAAAAAAATACATAATAATCTCAAATAGCATAATCGAGTAACACATATTTTATTGTCTAACTTCATTACATCAGAAACTGCTTCTAAGCGAAACTGAAGATACAGTAAGACAAAAGAAGTTATTTGGTTCAAACATCAAAAGAATGATTATTTCAAATAGGAAAATGTTAAGGGAGAAAAACGAATGGTCTAAATGCCATTCACTACCTAATGGTCTAAATGCCATTCACTATCTCAAGATTCTTTCCAGTTCTATAGTTCTATGACTATAATTTCCCAAATTACCAGAATTACAGAAATTCCATCCAATTGGTTCAATTGATATTTACTCTAAATTTCTGAATTCAACCAAATATCTGTCTAAAATACTCTTTAATAAATAATTATGGTATAAATGAGCGGATAAAAGCACTCAGGATCCTTAAATCATTCATTGTAAAGGGCAAAAAATGGTGAGAGAGAGAAAGACAGTCAGAATGTTAGTTCATCACCAGCTCTTCACTGGGCAAACCGATTGATTCTATTGAATCAGTGATTCTCAAACTTTAACGTGCCTCAGAACCATCTGAAGGGCTTGTTAAAACACAGAATGCTGGGCCTTGCATCACAGGTTCTGATTCAGTGGATCTGATTGTCCACGTTTCCCAGGTGAAACTAATGCTGCTGGTTTGGGAGCCACACACTGAGGACCACTGTACTCAATTAGACCTCAATTTGTAATAGGAAATTGATTATTTTTTAATGGTACTTTTTATTTTTTCTTTTTAAAATTAGAAATATTTTCTTACATCGTAAAGCTCAGCTATTCTTTAGAAAAAATTAGAAAAGAGATTAAAATCCCAGAAAGAAAAAAATTAGAAATTAGAGATAAAAGAGATAAAATTAAAATCACCATTAATTTTCCTTGATGTTCACGTTGCTTATAGCCTATTGTTTCATTTAAGAATATATCATAAACATCTTTGATGTTATAAATATTCTTCTATAATATTAAAATGCCTTTATAGTATTTTATCGGATGGCTGTAGCTTAATTTATCTTATTCACTAGTATTGCAATAGTGGTGGTTTTTATTTTTTTCATTTATTAATAATTTATGTAATTAAATTTTGCATACATTTTAAATTATTTCCTTTTGGTATAGAAGAATAATTTTAAAGGTTTTCTTATGTGTCGGTAAATGGGCCTTTAAGAAAGGTTGTTCTAATTTATATATCTACCAGCAGCATGATAATTCTTATTTCTCTAGTTTCCCCAACTTTATTATCTTTAAGAAGAAAAATCTTTTCAAATCTGATGGAAACATCGTTTCCTTATTTAATTTTCATTTCTGATTGCTAACAAAAGTAAACAATTTTTATATATTTTTCCCCCATGCGGTACTCATTTTCATGATGAACTAAGTGGGACTATCCTTTTACCTTTTTGATGTTCAGTTGCGTTAAATGGCACTTGCGGTTTTTCAAAGTTCCCATCCTCTGCGAAAGAATTCCTGCAAATGCAAAGCCAAATGACTCTGGATCAATGAAATGAGCAAAATTCATGGAAATTACATCTAACACACTATCTTTTTTTATATGTGGGCACAGTTATTTTGATGAACACAAAGAAACACTTTCTGGATTTCATTTCTCAAAACTGGCAATCTCGCCTCAAGTGAGGTGGGTGGAAATCTCATCATCTCTAATCAGCAGAAGCACATTTGAAGAAAACCAGGGCAAAAAGCCACTCTTCAGTCCAAAAGTAAGCAATCTCTGATAGCCCGGGTCCAACAGAAGGGATTCGGGAACACACATTCTAACTGGAATCTGTTTGGCTAAAGTAACACAGTCTTGAAGCAAAAAGCCTTGGAAACTCTGAGGAACAGACTGAGAAGAACATACTTATAATCTAAGAAATTTAAGTGTACCAGGCAAAGGGCTTGCCAAGGCTTCTATCCTTGAACTCTGATTAACTGTAGTGAATGGTAAGAGTTATGTCTTGGTGTGTTTCCCTCATATTTCTCTTGTATAACTAAATGCTTGGCCACATTGCCTTTTAAATCCTCAAATTTGGGACCAAAATAATCTAGATTGCAGACAGAAAAATTGTTTGTCCTGATAACAGAGAACATTGGGCAGGATGTGACTTGACTTTCCTGGGCTGTTGTGAATCTTTGTTTCTACTCCAGCAAAACAGAGATAATAGTATTGGCCTAGCTTCATAGGGATGCCATAAGAATTAAATCTAATGCTCTGTGCTTCATTACATCTTATAAATATTTTTGTCCCAGGTATGTGGTGGGCACTGTGGTAGAGAAGAAATGAATAAGCTATATTCAATTCCTTCAAAATATAAGCATCAGATGGGAAATTAAGAAGAATCACAGAATTACAAATATTGCTAATGCCGGGAAGTGTGATAGTTTTATTGCAGTTTTATTTGTGTGTGTGTGTGTGTGTGTGTGTGTGTGTGTGTATAAAGATGTAATTAAGAGTAAAAAATAATAATATAGTTGACCCTTAAATAATATGTGGGTGAGGAGCAGAGACCCCCGCACAGTTGAAAATCTATGTATGATTTTTAACTCCCAGGAAACTTAACTACAGTTGGCCTTTAGGATTCAACCAACCGCTGATTGAAAACAGCATTTTCTATCTGCAGCTGGGAATCTGCAGTTAGGAATCCGCTGTTGGAAATGGGAAAATACTGTTTTCTATACATGGAAGGTTGAATCTGCAGATGAGAAACTCAAGGATACTAATAGCTGAGTAATAGTGTATTTATTGAAAAATATCCACTGGAAGTGATGCCATGCAGTTCAAACCAGTATTGTTCAAGGGTCAACTGTTCTTCCCTCCTCCCAAGGAATGAAAAAAATAGATAGAATAAGCATGGAGTGAGAGATGTTTAATTGAAGTTTCACTGGATATCAGGCCAACTTTACAAAAACAAAACAAAACAAAACAAAACACTGAAATTATGTGAAGCAAAAACTCTAAGTGAAGCTCATAAAAGATACAACCCTTAAATATACATAAACTGAATTTTGGAAATGTTACTGTCTTAATGGAAGGAGATGCTCTCTATGTTAAGGCATCTTGCATGATTTCTTGTTTAATTTTGTGGATTATCTTTTGAAAATGTGGGTTTTCATGAAAAGCATTGAAAGCGAAGTACACTTGCAACTTTATTTCCCGGAACGTGAAAATTAGCAGAGGGTGCACAAACAATGATTTTAAGATTTTCATTCTGTTCAGATTTGTACTAACTCTGTTGGGACCTCTGGATTCTGAGTCCCAGGAGCACAGACATAACTATCACCTTCTCTAACTGTTGCTTTTCTGACTTTATCTCTCTTCACCTTGTTGCTATAAGCAGATAATCTTTACTTAAAAGGGAGGATGAGTCATTAATCCCCACAAGTAGTATACGTATGTGAAACTGGCTTTTTCTGTAGAAACAAAAACTGGAGGTGACCATTGTGAAGATAAGGGCAATAATGAACGACCTCTCTGTCTGCATGATATACTGAGCCATGAAGGAGAAAGTCACCTCTATTTCTATTAGCTGTGTGGCTTGAGTAAATGACCCATCTTCTCAGCACCTGTTTCCTCACCTGGAAAATGTGTGTGATAGGCATCCTCCTTATAATACAGCATGGGTGATAATTAAATATCCATATGCTCACAGGTAAAATTGAAAATAATTAGAATTGAGAATTCTTTCTTAAAATGTTCTAAGAGCAATTTACCTAATTGCTTCCTGATAAAGATCTGAAGTTTACTTGTCTCAGTGATAACTTCAATAAATCTTTCAAACTTGTCTTGCTTTTCTTATACAAGAAATAAAATATTTCACCCATTGTTGATGCTGAAGTGATCTTTGGATGGTATAGAAACATGAAAAGGCAAATATACCAATATTTACTACCTACCTGTGCTGCAGGATACCAGATACCATGTAGTACCTGGAAGTTATCTTATATAATCCTCCTGAAATAATACATGGTAGGTAGTATAATCCGTATTTGACAGATGTGGAAACTGAGTCCAGAGAGGTCAAAACTTTACCTGTCATAACTAATAAACTCTAAAGTTGGGAGTTTTGAATCCAAGTCTGTCTGATCCAAAAAAGTCCTGATCTTTTCAACACTAAATCCTGACCATTAGTAAATCCTTTATTGGAAGAGAATCAGTTAAGGTTAGGGTTAAATTCAATATTCTAAATATAATGTAACTTAATTGGTTAACTTTACAATATACGTGGAGCTTGAAAAAAAACTTATTGGAGCACAAATTTTCCAAAACTGGCAGATCTCGAGGGAACTTAAAGTTAAGAGAAGCACTTAAATTGGCTCCCAGGTAAATCAAGTCTGCTCTTTCCCCATTGATAATGACAAATGAGACAGTTTGGGATTATTTCAGTGAGTGCAAGGAACAAACAAAGGGACATTGAGCCATATTATTTAAAACCTAATTTTCAAACAAATAAAATCTTACATCAGGCCTACAACTTCTGAGGTAATAAGGCCAGCTTCATAAAGCTGTGGCAGCTAAAGTGAATTCTTATCCCTGGGAGATGTCTTAAGAATTCTTCAAATATATGATTATTTGTATTTTCGAATTGCAGGGAAAAAAGATTTCCTATAGAACTGCTTTCACTATTTCCTGACGCAGAAAGAAATGACATGCAAGTCAATAGAACAGAAGCCATTCCTAAGGGTGACTGCAAGAGACAAATGACTATAGCATGGCCATTGAGTCTTTTCATCTCCCTAGGAGGTTTAGGTTTACCTCTGTTTTCCTGGCAATAGCAAAGTCAAATATTCCCTTGATTCTGCCATATAAGAGAGAAGCAGACTTAGCTAAAGCCTTCGGCACTGCGCTTTTCACCAACAGGAGGTATCAATATGTTCACCTGGCCTGTCCTCCCTCTCCTTCCTTCATCACTACCTCTCATTAGAATGAAAGTGGAGATGGGAGGCCAAGAAATTTTTCTCTAGCTGTTTCCCTCTGAGATTCAATCCTTTTTTTTTTTTTAAGTTCTCTTATGGCAGAGACAGACATATTTAGATAGGTTTTGCTCAGAGAAAAGTCATGCCTCAAAAACTTTCTAAAAAATTGCTCATACCGACTTGGGCTCCATTCTGACTGATGGTTCATAAAACAAATCTCACCTAATTCTTTCTGTCTGATGCTCCCATAATTCAAAGATATATGTCATAGAGTAAAACTAGATTGAAACTTAATTTTAAGCATTGCTTTTTAGTGGAGTCAAGTCCTGTTGGTTTGAAAAACTGTTGGATATATTTTTGTTAGTGTTTGAAGACCACTGGAATCATTATGGTTTCAATGTTTTTAAGAAGCTTATTTTCCAGAGCATGAATTTTGGACACACTTGTTTTTGTTGCTTTCTTTAATGTAGGCAAAGCCTTTTGAAATCAATCTTTAGACTAGAGATTTTTTTGGATTGCACAATTCAAATTTGTGGCTGTCTTACCATTCCAGTGGATGTAGCTGTGCCTTTTTATTCAAGAGCTGAAATTGCTCAAACACATTTAAAAGAGACCAGTATCGGTTCAGGACTGAACCAGGTTTTCCTGTAGGATTTGCTGTGTCATAATATTCACTCATCAAAGATTGAATCCCAGGAGTAATTGATGGGAAGAGCTGAGAACAGATATTCAAAGACAGAATATCAGAAAAAGTGGACAATAAATTAAAATACAGTATTCCTAGGAAAAGCTTTATATTTATTCAGATACTTTAAAAATCAGACACTTATTAAAAATCCAATTTCTGTACCATTATTTAATTTTCTATGCAGCTGTGAAGGTAAATACCATTTTTAATAAGGTACTAATTTTGTTGATGATCATATTTCCAAATGGGGTGATTTTTGTTCTCTTTTCATTGACTATAAATGGATTTCTCCTACCTATAGATACCTGAAAACAGCTGAATAACAGAGTGAGTCAGGCAGTGGGAAAAATGACGAGAAATACCCTTGGGTTATAAGTGAATTTCATCAACGTGAGAGATATTAATCTTACCAAATAATATCTATGGTTATTCTTTCAACTCTGAGAGTCAGGAAATTAGAGTTTGCCCTTTCTCCTGCAAAATAACTTCAGTTCGTGTGCCATGAGATGTTCTCAACATTCACAATATCTTGAATTACGAATTTCCAAAGAACGAGGTCAGATCTCTTTGATTATCTTCGTTTAGTATTGAGTCAAACTGTTATGTAATACTTACTATATTTCAATTAATTAAAATGATAATCCATTCATTAAATTATCTCTGGGGCAATAAGCTTACTTTGAACCCTCCAAAATATGGGGCTAACTTGTAAAAACAAGTGTCAAACATTCATTAATTAACTTCGTAAATTAGTTATAACTCATACAAGTAGCATACAGATACATAGATTTTTTTTTTAAGTAAAAAGTAAATATTGGATCCAAACACATTAATAATAGATTATCAATGGGGTTTTTAAATGCTATTTTAATATATTTTGTATAAACATTTAAGAGGAATGTACAAATTCATTTGATTCTATCTATATAAGTGGCAGAACTAGAAACAAAGCAAGTACTGAGAATGTACATTTAGGTATAAATTATCCTTTGATATTGACCCATAAATGAACAACCCCCCCCAAAAAAATACATAGAAAAAAATAAATGCCATGTTTTTAAAGTCTGAAACCCCTAAATGTTAAAATTATTTACATTTTTTCTTTCTTTACATTTCCTTTGTTTGCTATAGAGTTACAACAAAACAAGATTTAGGTAGTTTTCTAAAATATTGTTGCTATATTTAATAATATTTGATTTTATACAAACAAAAAGTGCATAATAAGGAGAAAGAAATTTTGGTTACATGTAAATATTCCAAAGCTAAAAGCAAAACTTCTTTAGAAATATTTGAACATTTTCTCCATAAAAATTGTCAAATCTTGGCAGCTATACTAACCCCATATTCTTTTACCTTTAATAAGTCACATGTTATTTGCAAACTCTTAAAGAATACGGATTCTGTTCATTTTAATTAGGTGTCTGAAAAGAGGAAGGGAGCTTACAAAGATTTCTGTTTCTTAAAGAAATATCTTCACCTAGGTTGAAGTCAAAATCAAGTAGTTTATGGCTGATCTACTATAATCACAGTTATCAAGAGGAATCAAATGTCACTTTTGTTTTACCAATTGGAATTGTCCCAAACTCCCAAGTTCCTTTATGAAAGTCATAATTGAGTTAATCTCCTCTAAAGACAGGCATTGATTTACTTCCTTTTGATAGTTTTCACCCTATAATAAGAGAGGAAAAGAAAAACAACTTTTTAAGCAATTGTTGCAAAATCAAACCACATTTAGACCAGTTGCTGCTTAATTCATAAACCAAACAAGTTTTGAACTCTGTAAATAAACAACTGAGCTAATTAATGATAAATAATACATAGCAACTTCAATTTGTAACAGCGATATCTGAATATAAGAGAACTTCATATCTGACAAAGAGGACCTGAATGAAATCCCTCAACAGTGCTTCTCTAGTAAGGTTGGAGAGATGAGCCCATGAGGGCAGAATGTGTGTGACAGTTTGGGTATGTAGAGTCCCCTTTAGCCTTCAGGTACTAGAGGTTGGAGCATATATAGAGAGAACATTCCTGCACTAGTAATCTGTACAGATTTTTTGAGGCATAAGAAAACTTGTATTAATATACCATAAAATTAACCAGTGCTACTCTGAAGCACTGCACCCTAATCATAAGCATGTAACCGAAGATGCCAACCAGATGTGAATACTTAAAAAAATTGGTATTATAACTTAAGCCTCTTGAAGTCAATCTGGAACACTCACTGCTAGAATAGACTGCCTCCAAAAAGTCCTAGTATTCCTTTTAAAGTAAGTATTCTATAAAATATAATATCCATATACATTCCTTATGAATTAGGAAATGGTTTACTTCATTTTCAACCCATAATTTTATCATAATCAGTCACTCACATACTTAGTTGACACAAAAATAATATTGGTCCTCAGGTCAGAAAAATATTCAGAAGTGTAATATAATTGATATAAATTAATTTTAAATAAATTATTAAGTTGCTTAACTACACAATAAAGGAAATGGCTTCTTGTAAAGAATGACTTGAAAAAAAAAAGCTCATCGGTACAAAAATATGCACTTACCTTAAATACACTTAACCTATAAAGTCTCTGAACTATCTCAGAGAATATGGAAAGAGAAGATTCATTAGAGAAGAGAAAACTGAAAGTGTCTTTTAGAAGGAATTCTTCTGTGTTTTGGTCCTCAAAATCCATATTATCATCATCTTGAAATTTTAAGTGCTCATGCACCTGTGAAAAAGCAAAAACACAGCCAACATTTTTATTAACTTGCTTTTAATAAGATGGTTATCACTTCTAAAGCATGATTCATTTTCTGTTGTATTGTAGATCAGAACTGACATCTAGTGGTCTTTTTGGAGGTCAACAGTTTCATAAGATGTAAGTAATGTTCTTTTGAATATACATACGATTCTTTATAAGAAAATTAACTAAATGAATTATAAAGTCACATTAGTTTAGCTTGAAACTCTTGTCAAAGAATTCATGTTCACGTAAGATAATATGTAACATTTCTGAACAATAAATTTTGGAGAGCATAATACAAATTATTGTATGTGCAGAAAACAAATAAATGACCATTAAAAGACATAGAGTCATAAAGTTTCAAACTTTTATGGATAAATCTTTGAACTGTTCAACCAAATGTCTGTCACACATAATGTAATCATCTCCTTGTATAAAAGTTTGAAAAATGCTGTATGAAGTTGAATTCTGATTACACATAATTTTATTATCTTCCCTTCTTCCTACTCCATATCCCAAAATAAAGCTTTCTATAGACTAATTCAATTAATTGTTTTTTAATCTTCTTGTCACTAAGGATTATTTTAGATTAAAAATGTTGGAGGAGATGATTTAAATGAGTGATTTGAGAGGAAGTAGCATGTACAAAATATACTCTTCAGTTTATACACAGTTATACTAGAAAAATCATATATTTCAAAAATTCTTGTGGCCAACTTTAAACTAAATATGTATATGTAAAGAATAAGAGTTATCTTTTTATAAACCCATGTGAATAAGCTGGGTAATCTATTTTATATTATCTAAATGTCTGTTTTTCTACATTAACACATACTTAGATTTATGCCACATTTATTTCATAAACAGTGGTTGTACTATAGAAAAAAATCCATGCTTGTTCCATAGGGATGCATCATAGGGACTGGGACTCAAATCATAGATTATCTACATACTGGTTAATTCTCTGAACCACCATAAATATAAATAAGCCTTTAGTGACCTTAATGCAAGCTGCTATTTACTGATTGGTTACTTTGAATAAAAAGAACATACATGCACACACACATCCTTCAGTAAAAGATGGAAGCTCACCTGAGGCCTTCGGCACACTCACCTGGAGCACTACAGGGGATCTGAAACTGCCATAACCAATATCAAAAGTTAAAAGTTGAAAACATAATCTGCATCTGAAATAAAAACATGAGGTAACATAAAAATATATCCTTTTTTGCTACATTTACTCTATTATTTGGTGTTATATTGTTAATAGTTATTATAGTTAAATCTCAAGGTCTGTACTGATTATAAAGAGCAGTGGCTTGGATAATCTAAAACTACATGCAGTTTATTTTGGGATTTGGAATCTGTTTTGTTCCCTGTGGAAAATACAAATACATGTAAAGTATTCATAATACATTAAACTAAACGATGAAGTTACTCTACGAAAATCTAAATGTGGAGAAGAAAACTCTCCTAAATGCCTGGCATTCTTAGTCACATATAAAGCATGATAAAGCTTAATTGAGTCACCTCCCTTTTTTGATAGACTAGCCCTAGGCGGGGAAAAATTAGATTATATTCAGGTAAAGAGGAGTTATTGTATTTTGTTAATAAAGCCTATAAATAAAAATATACCTAGTCAATGGTAAATATATATGATAGAAATAGCTGAGCTTGCAAGGGGTTACAATTAAAAATTAATTTAAATAACTGCTTTGTTACTTGTCACCACTATTTAGATACTAATATGTCTATAATGTGCTCTGATGTTTTAGGATCTATAAATTAGGAAACACTTTTGGGAGTTCACATTTGTATACTGACATAACATTTTCCAAGTAGCACCTACATGTGATAATTAAGGTATATTGTCACTAACGATTAATTTTTAGAAGGTAGTTTTTTTCTTTTTTTAACATTAAAATTTATTTTTACCTATCAAAAGCCTTTGGTCCCAGAGTAGATGTTTCACTGAACACTTCAGCTGCTAGCAGAAGTTTGCTAATTGCTTCCTTCATATTATCAAAAGTCTGAAGAGGAGAACCAGCTCTCAGGAATGTATCAAAAAAGGTTTGAAGCTGTGAACAAAATAAAGAATTTATATGTTGAAACAACATCTCAATTTGTCTCTCTATCATTTCCAAGGCAACCAATTTGAAAGATTCCTTTAGGTTATCTCTCTTTATCACACTCCAAAGAAACTCCTTAAGTAGGAAACTTTGATAATTTAAGATATATATATTGTATATATTATATACAGGAAGAGTATATAATATACTGAAAGTAGACTATAATATAGATTATATACATAATGTATTATATGTACATATTATATACATTATAAAATATATTACAAGCTTTCCAATAGAATATGGGGTGCCGCTATATCTTATAATTTCAATTACTTTAGAGGTGCTTCCTTCATTCTTTTCTCTTTTCATGGCATCTAATCAAGAAAAGTGAAGTGGAATTGTAACAGCACTTGTGATTTGAACTTCCAAATTTCTATGCGACTCGACTAGGTGAATCTGGACTGGCAACTCAGTTCTCCAAATTTTTGTGTCTCCTTTAAAATGGGTTAACACCTACTAACAAGAGTGTTATGAAACTAGATTATTTGAAAACCACTGAAATGTATGAAATTCACATCTAAACTTTTCATTATTATCACTTTTCTGTACATATCAGAACAAAATAATTATATCAAAGTTGCTTCTTCACAGCATTCTGCTATGGGAGATCTAGCCAACTACTGAAGAATCTAACAGATTCTCAATGTCCTCCTAATACTATAATTAAAGTTTTCACATAGAGAGAGATGATAAGGCAATATTGCAAGAGGGGAATGAAGCTCAGGCTTCTTGGAAACACTACAGTTAGTATCACAAATGGCTATTAAATATTAAATATTAAATATAATCATTACACATTAACTAAACAATAAAGTTAATATTAAATATTAAAACAATTGCAACAACAAAACTACTTCTCTAGGACACTTAGCATAAAAGTTCAAGTTAAAAATTTTTTTAAGTATATAAAAAAACTCATATTGATTCATAGACTTTGGATAAACATACCCTTTCAAAGATGAAGAACAAAAAATATTTTTTGAAAAAACATAAAGCAGGTATTCTATTCATGTTTTGGAAGAACAGACTAAATCTTTCTGAACTGCTTGAGATTGCAAAGGGAAAAACTTTTGTTGCTATGATAATGAAGGAGAGATAGTGGCACAAACCATCTGAGGGAAGCGGTAAATGTATCTTTTAAATACACACACACACACACACACGCACACACACAATTCATCTAAGAGAATAAACACTGACTTCATAAACTTTTACCAACTGAAAAACAGAAACCTAATGAGACATACACTTTAAGACCCTATGAACAGGTCATTAGCTTTGGCAATTGGGATATTTTTCCATTTCTCTAAGGAAAATGAATGTAATAATTATACAATCAAAAGAAAACAAATTAATGCTAACACTGAAACTGTTAACATCCTTGCGTCAAAATAGAGTAACAATATGTTTTTCCAAATAAAAGTAACTCATCCTATTTCACTCAATTCACCATATTATGTAGAAGGAGTTACTGATGATGTTATTGCATTTTCCCATTTGGTTATGAGATTATATTCTCCAAGGAAAAAATAATAAGCAAATTAATGTCTTAGGCTTATAGTTATTCTTCTACTGTGGAAATGATTATTTCTAAATTCCTGATTGTAACAGCGAGCTGCCAGTACATGAATCCAGTTCCTTTCAAACCAACTTTCATGAGAATTTTACCACACAGAAAGCATTGTGCTTTGAGCACAGTGCTAATGCTATAGACTCTAGAGGCAAAAAATCCCAGGCCAATACTTAGTGCATACTAGCTCTTTTTATTAATTAAAACGAGACAAGTCCACAGAGCCATTTAAAAGAAATTTCAATTAAAAGTGATTGTTGAATCCAGATTCTCTTAATGCAATGCATGATTTGAGAAAATCAAATTGCCTCTGAGAATTCAAACATTTGTGACACCAACCAAGGAAGAACATTTAAAAAGTTTATGTCAAGCCTTCAATAGATTCTGTTTTAAAAAGAGAGAATAATGCTGCAGTGAACATAGGAGTGCATATATCTTTTTGAGTCAGTGTTCTCATTTTCTTTGGATAAATATCCAGAAGCAGAATTGCTGGGTCATATAATAGTTCTATTTTCAGTTTTTTGAAGAATCTCCATACTGTTTTCCATAGGGGATGTACCAGTTTGCAGTCCCCCCACATTGTACAACTGAAACTAATATAATCACAATAAGATTGTATACCAACTACACATAGATAAAAAAAAAAAGATTAAAAAAGAGAGAGAGAATAAAGAGGCACAATGGTTGAATGGACCCCTCTAGTTGTTTGCCTCTCAACAGAAATGAAAGAGCAGAACTGAAGGACCCAAATAACTGGCTTTTCTCCCATCTCCCTAAGAAGTCGACCTGCTAAGAGAAGGAAAAACATCAGCTGACAACCATGAAAGCAGAGGACCAGAGCGGAGCCGCCTTTATAAGGGGAAGTGTGAAGACAGAAGAGAGAAGCGGCGCTGAAAAAGCACGATTCGAAACGGAGCGACTTGTTTTATTTTTGTGCTAGTTCTCCTCCCAGTTTCTGTCTCCGTGTATATTCTCTATCTCATTGCTCAGATTTTAATTTATTTAAGCCCTTGACTTCAAAGAAAGTTCTAGATGAGTGACCTCTTCTATTTAAGTCATACGGTATAAGTGGCAAGCAAAACTATCTATGCTAGAAATGAAAGTAGAACCATGCAAGTGCTTAATAGGTGTTTGTAAAACATTATCACTTTCAATAGATCACTCAGAGAGTGCGCAATATTTCTGTTAGTTTTCATAATTAACCCATTTAGACTAAGTGGAAGACTTCTTTGAGTTTTACAATTTGTTACATGAATTTGTATTTCCTTGGTTAATTACTTGAGTTCTGCGCATCTCATTGTGCTCAGATGTGTAGAGAACTGTGCTCAATGATCTCATCAGACAATGTCAAATCTAAACTTATTCAATATTAATTCCATTTAGAATCATATGAACCTGAAAAACACATTTCGCCCAGGAGCTTTCTTAACTCACACACAAATATCTAAAGGAGCACCTTCACCTTCATTGTTAATTTAAAACAATCAAGCCATGAACTCAAATATCAAAAAGAATGGCCTTTTTCTAGACCAAGACTTTTAATCAACATTTTTGAGTTACATAAATACATAAGAATATAAGATCCCAAGGACATCACTGCCTTGGCAGTTTGGTAGAAATTTTAAAAATATTAAAACTTTTAACGTGACATGAAACTATTTTATAAACTATAATTTTTCCTCCAGTGTAAAAATGAAAAACAAATTTAGTGCAAAATAAATTATGTAGAAAATGACCTTGTAAGAGCATGGTTGTCAAACTAAGCAGTTAAAGCATCACCGTTTGTTTGTACTTTATGTAAAATATAAGCCATAACCCAGTAAGGTATTTATATTTCTAATATCTTTTATATCTATCCATTCAAGCAACCTATTGAAATTTACATAGATGGATCAAAATTAGCAATTAAAATGAAAGGACAAGAGAAACTGAGAACTTGAAAATATTCATAGAAAAACTTCAGTTATGTCTTTGATATCTTAAAACAATACCAAGGTGCTCTTATACCATCTCATTCCTCCACCCTACCTCACAAAGCCCCTCACATACTAAATTCTAGGCTTTGCCTTACTGTGTCCCTTTATACTCCCAAAAGACCTTGGACAAATTGCTCTCAAAAACAACATGTGTCATTCTGTGTTAAATTTGTTGATTTTCTTGTCTGCTCTTTAGTAGAGAGCTTTTAGAGTAGAAACTGTACCATTTTATTTTTTGAGGGCCAATACCTAATGCAGTGTAGATATTGCATAAATACTGTTGAATAAATAAACCTAAGTATAACAATACAGAAACCACAGACTTTGGTAAGAGAAAGAGTTTATGGAAACTTCTGGATACCACAGTTTTTTCTTTAGAACAACATGTTTCTTTCTTGTTTCCATCTTTTTAGAGAAGGAGGATATGCATTTTTCTGGTGCTTTATAATAAAGTTTTTGAAAAATAGAAGCTAGGATAGAAAGATTCAAGAGGATTTTTGACATAAATTTTAATCTAATAGTTAAAATGAAGAATGAAAGATTAACCAATATTAAAGGTTTTTTTTGTAAGTCATGTTCTTGATTAACTGGGAAACTATAAGAGAAAACTGGTATTTCAATATTTTAAAATTTGAGTAGTGTGTAATAACATTGTACTTTACTAAAAGTTACTGGAATTTCTCTCAGAATTATTGTGTAATAGAAAATTTATCATCTTCTCACGATAAACAAGATAAAATCATTTTGCACCAACAATCATATGACAAGATGGTCAATCCATTAAGATAGCTGGTATCAAAAAAAAAAATACCATAAAATATTAAGAGTGACAAGGCTCTGAAGAAATAGGAATACTTGGGCACTATTGGTGGGAATGTTAAATGGTTCAGCTGCTATCCAAAACAGTAGGGAGGCCCCTCAAAAAATCAAAATTAGAATTACCATGTGGTCCAGTAATTCAATTTCTAGTATATAGCCAAAAAAATTGAAAACAGGATTTCAAAGAGATATTTACACACCCTTGTTCATTGCAGTATTATTTGCAATAGCCAAAAGGTACAAACAACTCAAGTAACATCTGTGGATGAGTGGACAAACAAAATGTGGTACATACATACAATAAGATATTATTCAGCCTTGAAAAGGAAGGACGTGGAAAGAGGTCAGAAACATGGCAGAGTGAGAGATGTCCCTAGATATCTCCTCTTGAAACAACAATAAGCTGAACATCTTAAAAAAAAAAAAAAAAAAAACCACCCAAACTGCACACCAGCAAGTCTGAGCATGGGATCTGTGCATAAGAGCTACCACAGGTCAGTACCCCGGATATCAGATGGTGGACTGGGAGAAGTAAAGAAGCTGCCTCTCACAGCCACCAGCGCTCCCTGTAGGGGGAAGGG